GTATAGCAACATCGGCAGTGCTGATGCTTCGCTGTGTTACGAAAACATCTTGAGCTGGAATATCTCTTACTTAGTTGCAATTAGCATATGATCGAAGGGTGGCACAATGTGATACCAAAGTACAGCACGCGTCCATACAGTGTGAAAGCACAAAAAGGTATCTGCAGTACGCCGGTACGCGCAGTACCGATGTTTCGCTGCCGCGCAACCACGACCGGTCGCACGTGGGCTAAGGGGATACTACGAAGGCCGCTCGGTCCCAACGCAAACTAGAACCCGCGTCCTCATGCTACAAGCCAGACTTGTCATCCTTAAGGCAACGGACCGGCTGTGTAAGCACCGTACAGTCGCAAACAGCTGGTTCTACCATTCGAAGATAACGAATTATGAGCCGGAAAGTCATCCCGCTGTTTTCACAGCCCAAAGGCGTCATAATCGACCACTCCCGGCGAGTCACTAGTCTCCACGTGCACAGTAGATTTTTCATACACTCCCAAGACGACAGTAAGCATTCCATTGTGTCTGTTTCGAGCCGTATCCTGTAGTACCTCTGTGTGAATACAGAGTTGGCCGGGTTAACCATAGCGTGAAAGGTGATGCAGTCCAACAGCTCTTGCTCTAGTGAACGGCGAGATGGCTTCCTGCGGTTTGGGCACTGGTCACCTTGCCATCGAACCTTGCTCCATGTAAGACCCAAAGGACACATAACATACCTATCCTGTTTAAGCGATGAGAGGGAGGTCACTCGATCAGTTCACATAATACTTGCCTATGCAACTCGTCATTGTGGTTACCTTGCCACCAACTGACACAGGCAATGCAACGTAATTGTCGAATGCGTTTGACCCTCTCAGGACGAGTAGAGCTGCACTTTTATGTTGATCCCGTTCACACGGCTATTGAGAATCCCTCTCCTAACCCTACTTGTGTCACGGTGTCCTGGAGACTGTTCTGACATATGTTCTACTAAGAAAATCCTACCAGCCTTTTCCCACCAATGTTGTTGAGCCTATCAAATATCTGGGGTTCTTCATCGTCAAGAACACAAAAGATGAGCAAGCTACAAATGTTCTTGCGACAGTACAGTTAGGAGGATGCGTACTGGATCTCTATTTTCCGTGACAATTCTTAGCTGCCTACTTTCTTTCCGCTACCGTTCGTTTCTTGACATTTGTTCAAACGCATCATTTCTGCTTTGAATTTGTATTGGATGTCATCTTAGGGGCCCAATTCCCCGGATACAGTTCCGTCGAATGCGTCTGAGTGGTCCTCTTACCACTTCTCATTCACCCATATCATTCAGTGATTCCCTATGATGTTGATTGGCTCCAACGTGTTTTAGTAGCTCTGCTTCCTCTACCATTGTAGCGTTCTCATGCACACTACTCGGTCCTGGCTCTTCTCCGTGTTCTCTTTGCGGTCGTGAGGTGCGAATGGTCTACGGCGACACAAGTGCTTTGCAGTGGATGGAAGTGTTGCGACCGTACAACACCTATAGTATTTATCTGCCTCAGCTACAGTTCCGGCGGCTGTACTGGCCGTGATTTACTGCAACGTGAACCGCGCAGTTTGGACTGAGATTGCGTCCATGCAATACGTCCGCACAACTTTCCTTTTCTCTCAGTGTCCGCACGCACTTTTCTTATGTGAGCAGATTCCTTTGAGAAAGGGAAAATGATTCCTGTGGGAAATTTGACGATACATTCAGCCGCTCCATAGATTTTACTTACCCAATCTCTCGGACACTACGTGGATCGAAAACGTCCTTTCCCAGCGCCACAACTCATGGGCACATCTACCTTTCATGGCCAATTTTAGCCATAGACCCCTCACATTTAGCTGACTTAATCACTCTATGCGAACGTCGTTATCGCGCTCCCAAGACTGCCGTAGATGCCAAGGTCAATGAGTAATGTCATTAGAGAACGGCTTACTTCTTGTCCGCCTCTGCTACGCATGATTACGAGCGCCTAGCAAACATCAGTCGCTCAAAACCCAGTTAGCCACACTAACACGCAAATCATCTTCAAGTGCGCGTTGCATCCACACTTTGTGGGCGTTTTGGTGACCCTTCCACAAGGATTCGGCCACGCATATTGGGTGGGACGGGTCCTACTAATCTATTCATGTGGGTTTTCGCACAGCGTATGAGCGGTTTATATATATGACAGACAGATTTGGACTCGGTTGCCACCAATCATATTGGGGCAGTAACTCCCTTGCTTTCACCATCCATCATTTGCCTTAGGTATTTGTTTTCATAAGTTTAAAACATTGTCAGTGTTTCTGACCACCCCGATACCGGACATCTGCGCGTTACATCATTCGGGAAGCACGCGTGATATCGTTCACCTACTCGCTCGTTTGATTTTGGTCACATTCCCCCTGAAGATCCGTGATTCTCACAAAATTGTAACATCCTGTGTTGCATTCAGTATTTTCGTACTTTTGTCCTGCTCAGTGTCTTATCGTAGTATCACATCGAGACTTATCTTGGGATCGATCGCAGCTGTTGCAATTGATCGGCGTTAACGCAATCCGATACAGTAATGTACCTGTCAGACATGCAAACCCACATAATAGTGCAATCAGGTGGTGCGCGGAGCGTCAAACGCGCTGTGTACTTTTGTTAGAGCGCACGATTCCACTGTTCACGTGCCGCCTGTCATGTCTACCAGACTGGAACCGCGTACATCATGTATGAACTCAATGCAGGTGGCTTTCGTGGTCTCTTCCTCCTTTTCGTTTTATTATCTGTTTAGAACTCGTGTATTTCTTCGTAAAGCCTAATCGTCGTGCATATTTCAGAGGATAAGACATAGTTACTCGTTCGCTTTTCACACAGTACTTTAAGGCTGGTCAAGGATCCCATCGCGGACTACCGGAACCCAAATTCTTCTTCTTTCTCAGCGTAAGACAGAATGCTTATTCCCATCGGAATCCACAACGTGGAGATGACCACACGCAAAGAACGGAACAGAAACCTCGTTGATTCTCAACATGTTAAATGAAGATAATGGAAGGACTTATGTAAATTCTTTGTCGGAAGGGGACAGACGGTGTAAGAGAATGTGTGAACAGCTGTATATTAGGTGTCGCCCGCCCGAAAACACTACACTCCGCTCCGCGTTTCAATCTTGTTTGATCTCCTCGGGTGGAGATGATGTAGGCATCGAACCCCAGACCACTGGGATGTTAGCCGAAACTACTATCCCTTCGGCCACCGGTTCACGGCAGGCAACGCTTGTCACAACGACGAATACCTCAAAATCACCCCTCCAAGCAAAATATGCCAACACTTAAAGGAGATTATCAAGCGTAAATGTATGCTTGTACTCATAGAATTCCTCAGGACTTGTTTGAGAGATGAGTAGATACAGATACCTCATGAACATGGTCCCCGTTGTTTTCACTTAGTAACGCAATGACATTAATCTAGACACGCTACTGGGAGAATTGAAGGATGCAAGAGCCTGAAGAAAGCATCTGCCATTGAACATATACCCTGAAGGCACTGATTGTGTGTGGTGGCGAATTTGTTCGCAATACAGTTGCCGAATGAAGATAGAAGCTGATGCAACAGTTCACTGGATCTAAGGTGAATTTTTACTAGGGCTGCGTTACGGTGTTAGACAGGGAACATTGCGGGTGGTGGGTTTTCCGCCTGCCAAACGTTCTCCCTATGAAAAGCCACAAGTGTCCGTCTAAAAACACTGTGATGTGACGGATGTGACTAGTCAGTAATTAAAGTCACTGACCAAGGCTTCACACTGACAAGTTGATTAGAGCCACATTTCACTATTATTGATACATACACTATAAGATACTTCTCTATCTGCACATTCCATCACCACTTCTCTTTATACGTTTTTACTGCTGATCTCTACACTACACACACATGAACACAGACTATCGGCACATCAAACGATTTTGTTCCGCACCGGTTCTTTTCTTCTTTCTGCAACATCTACACCTACACCTTTCCGGCATCTTCCCATTGCATACAACACAACGTGCCTGTTGCGAGAGCATAGTTTGTACAATTTTGATCATGCCTCATATGGTGTGCCTCGATGAATTCGAGCATAAAATATTTATTTATTTATTTGGGATGCGTTATACCTGGGACGAGGATGGGTGGCAAAATAGACGACGCAGTGTGAAGAAAGCATAGGATTGAAGGCTCTCGTATCTCCGCTGTCATGAACGCACTTGCGACTTATGGGCTGTTGTGTTGCCATGTGAGAATCAAAATAAAGTCTAGGAAACGATCGAAAACCGTTATCCATGGGTCATAGCATCATTCGTATTGTACATAGATTCAAAACGCCATTTTCTCTTGACAGCTTTCCATTGGTTATTCCCCGTCGTCGTCTCTCGTGTCGTCTGCGAATTTTTATTGGCCAGCACACGCAATTCGTCAGGCGCGATCGATCCACTCCACCTCTGCCTTTTCTTTGCCCACCTTGAACATGGTTCGTGCCTATCTGCATCAGTTCTACGTCCTCGAGCTATCTCATGCTGCTGTGGTCAGCTCGCATGGGCGACAATCGATTCGCTTTCTGTTGTAAATTGTTGGCGCTCAGTTGATCAGTCCCCGTTGCACGCCGTGTCGTTTGTTTAAGTTCGGCAGCGCGCTTGTGCTCTTCGCTCACTGTTGTCCGGGCCAATCCGATCCACCCGTGGCAACGACAACGTTGCTCCTCGCTCGTGTTAAACCGGATGGATTCGCTTACGCTCTTGTGGTTCGCATGATTGTGATCAGCCTGCGTCGGCGATATTTCACTGACCACCCACTTATCCTGCGTCAACTTCGTTCACCCGAGCCACCAACTAGCACCGCATAATCCACCTGCTACTTTCATAGTAGATTTTGCTCCATACTGCGATTTCACTCACTTTCAATGCTCCGTGCGTTATTGATTCAACCTATCGTTCGTTCACTCTGCTCTCTCATTCATTTGCTATGCTCTCTCTCTCTTTTGTCTGTCTCTCGTCAGCCCACCAGTGGTTCGTACAGCACCGTTGGGCTGGACAGCGCCGAACGGTGGAGCGAACAGTTGAATGCACTTGAAACCAAGTTGAATGGAATGTTCAATCAAGTGCAGCATTTACGCACCGGTCGATATGTGCGCACAGAGCAAATTTATCGGGAGTGAGTCAAGTCCACTTTTCACACTAAATGCTTTTATCCGACGGTTGCAATCACTGCCTTGATCGCACAGTTATTCCTCCTCAAGTGCTAGACCAGCGACGTACATTGGGCTCCCCTTTGACTTGAAGTAGCTTTCGACTCATCGAATTGTCCCAAAACTTTCTCTCTACCTGAAGTACGACTTGAATCATTCAAGACAATCGTACGACCGACTCTGGAGTATTGTACTATCCTTCACAGCCAATTGAGAAAGAAAGACAGAACGGCCCTAGAAAATGTCCAACGATCATTTACCAAACTGCTCATGGGACGCTGCTCAAACCTGACTTATTATGATCGCTGTCGAAAACTGCAGCTGGATCCACTCTGGCTGAGACGCTTAAAGAACAACCTCGTTCTCTTCTACAACATTATAAACCAACGAATTTACGCAGACAGCACCGCACTTGAACTGCGGAAGACTGCAGTCTACCCCACACGTAATGGCGGCTACTTGAAACGTACAAACTTTTCAAGTCATAAAATTCGATCGAATTTCTTCTTAGTGAGATACACTTATTTGTGGAACAAACTACCCCTACAGATACGCATGTGTACAAGCCATGTCACCTTTCGAAATCTCCTTCAGACCTTCCTCACTATACCAAATGCTCGCAGGGTGACTTGGCAGCATCTGTCCAACGCAACGAGGCCAGACGTTAACGTGGTGCGATGGTTTGTGTACAAAAATAACAAAAACAAAAACAAAAACAAACAAAAACAACAGTGCAGCAGCCATTTGAACTGATGCTTCGCTGCCATACAACCATAAGGACCTTGAAATAAAGAGTAATAAGACGGAGAGAAGGGGAACTTGCTTGAAAACCTTAATGCCCTAAGCAAACATTCAGGGTCAAGGCGCCTACCCCTTGTGTAGACAACATATCGTCACAAACAGCTGGCTATCATGCAAAGATAAGGCGGCATTGGCGAGACAGCTTCCTTGCGGCTTTCACTGCCACGCGTCATAATCACCCATTAACCCGCAGATAACTCACCACCAAACACACTTTAAACAGGCAATCCGATTAGGAGACGGCAACAGACGCGCCACTGGTGTCTACTGCGAGCCATGTCCTGTAAGAGTCAAGCACAAGGCGAGTCAAGTGAACTCCAGCCCGGAAGGCGACACGGACCAACGGCACAAAGGTTGGTCGTCAGTGACTTCAATTCCCGAACCAAATCAACTTCTGTCCAACTCGAGCTTTGCACCACGCTACACCTGGCAGACTAAACAAGGCCCTCCTAGGTAAGCGGTGACCAGGCATCCGTAGCACGTGCCCGAGCCAACGCAACTTATACAGTGCAATCTGTTGTTCCAGGGAACTAGCATGATTATCATCACCTAGTACTTGTCTACGCACATCATCATTGCGGCCACACTGGTGCCATCAGACACCAACAATGCTTCGCAGACAATGATGATCTAAAATATGAGGGCGCCTCAGATCTTCAGACCAAAGGGGCCAAGTCTCACTACCATAGAGCAGAACGGCCCACACTGTGGCCTTGTATACACGGCCTTTCAGACGGAGGGAAACTCCCTTCTGTCCCCAAAGATGTCGCAGGTTCTTAGAAGGTAGCTCTGGCCTTTGCAATGTGTGCGCTGACGTCAGTTTCTATGCGCCCATCTGTTGTTATGCAGCTGCCAAGATACGTGAAATGATCAACCACCTCGATTTCCTCGTTAGCAAGCGTCAAGGGGTCATCAAGTGGCTGGTGGTCCTGTAGCAACACTTTGCACTTTGAAGGTGCGAAGTGCATACCAAATAATGGGACCACTCTAGACAGGCTATTCAGGGTTAATTGTACCGCCCCAACATAGTCGAAAAGTAAGACGATATCGTCCGCATAATCAAGACAAATTAATCTTTCACCAGGTAGGACCTCAAAGCCTGCATAATGAGATTCCGCAAAGAAACATCCCGTGACAGAATCCACGACGAAATTGAACAAAATGGGGAAACCGGACAACCATGACGAACGCCACTTGTGGTCGGAAAGCTATCCGATAGACCACCGTAGACCCTGACGCGGCCTGTAATGTTCGAGTATCGAGCACGAAGGATGCTCGTATATTACGTGGGAACACCTTTCCAAGCAAGTATTCCGAACAAAATCGATCGATCGACTGAATCGAACGCACTCATGAAATCGAGGAACACAGCTATTGCCGGTCTGCGGTATGCGTGACGCTGCTCTAGCACCTGCCGCAAAGTAAATATATGGTCTATACAGCCACGTCCTGGGCGAAAACCGGCCTGCTCTTCTCTAATCCGAGATTCCCATTCCACAGTGAGGCGACGAACGAGAATCGAGGCCAGTAATTTTGTCACAACTGGCGTTAGACTAATACCCCTGTGGTTAGAACAGTCTGCGCGACTACCCTTCTTGTATATTGCCACTATAATCGGTTCACTCCAATTAGCCGGGACACTCTCTTCCTTCCAGATACGTTCGAATAGAGAGGTCACTGCTTTGCAGAGGACCTCACCTCCATCCTTAAATAGTGCAGGTGGGAGGGAATCCGGGCCAGCGGCAAGAAAACGATTGAGGGCCCTGACCGTGTTTCGTACCACGGCCTCCGACGGAGGCTCTAAACTAACCGTCCATGGCTCGTCCTGCATCACCTGAGTAGGAGGAGGCCGGGAAGCAGGGTGCCAGCTGAGCTGATCTTGAAAGTGTTCCGTCAAACGAGCTATACGGCGCTCCTTATTGTGTATCAGTACACCCACGCTGTTTCTGATTCTCTCATTGACGCTTGGTTTCCTGGGACCAATGGTGCGGATCAGCTGGAAGAGCTTGCGGTAATTGTCTACTGCTCCTGCCTCCTCCATTTTTTGAGCACACAGGCTTCGCTTTAGTTGGCGTCTACTAGCCTATCTGGTCACATTGTGCTCAGAGCTAGCCGGGAGGTTTCTTCTAGGTTCCAACTGGTTCAACGACCTCACGGATATCAAGTGACTGGTGCGGTGACGATGGATGGTGCGACAAGCAGACGCTCCTGCGTCGTGCATGGCGGCCGAGATCCTATTCCACTGAAACTCAGTGTTATTAGAACAAGACAGCGAAAGTTCGGTATGCAGGGCGTCTTGGTAGGCTTTCCTGACCGAGGGCTGAGACAAATACTCAGTTGCCAATCGGAGGAGACACTTGGGGCGCCTCCCGGTAAAGTTCATGGAGAAACGACAGTGTGCAAAGGCATGATCAGAGTCGACACAGTTACTCCAGTATGAGCGGCAATCCAGGATGGAACCACGCCACCTGTAGCTTATGGCTATGTGGTCAATTTGGGTCCATCGCTGGCCAGCTACAGGAGGACGCCAAGTGGCACTTCGGCGCCCACTGTGTCTAAAAGCAGTGCTACTAAGAAACAACTGGTGCTCCGCACACAGTTGCAGCAGACGCTCACCGGTGTCAGTCCGTTCGGAGTTAAGTCCATACTTACCACCCAGCTGAGCTTCTGAAGAGCTCAGACGCCCAACTTGTGCGTTCATATCCCCTGCGAGTACTATAATATCTGAACTAGTGGCAATGCGTAGTAGCGCGTTCAGTTCGTGATAGAATGTGTCCTTGACAGCATTAGAACTGCAGTCGGTGGGAGCATAAGCGGAAATCACGAACAAACAACGTTTTTACTACTTCGTGAGTCAACCTTAGCTAATGGTATCAAATGGGTTACAAATAAACGGTTGCTCACCAGAATCCAATCAACCAACAATGACTCAGCCTTGGAGACGAGAATGATACCTACACCAGTTTGACCCGTGCGTGCTGCATCGGCGTCTCCGGATGCGTGCAACCAATAACGAGAGGATAAGCCGGGTGCAGTCAATTCAACAACCCCATTAAGGTCATTGATTCTAGTTTCGGACACAACACACATCCATACCCAGTGTGTCCAAGGTGCGTGCGAGTGCAGCTTGCTAACCTGCTTGTCTTAGAGTGCGAACCTTGAACGTCGTCATGGAAACGGGACAGTGTGGCCTTATAGGGGACTTTTGTCGATAGGCGTCCGGTGAGTGCTGTGGGAAGGTGGCTGCAGATGCTTCTACTCCAGAGGCACTTCGGTTGATGTCATTTAAGCTGGGAATTATAGAAGGAAGGTTAATAATGGGGATGGGGATGGGAGTAAGAGAAACAGGTGGAAAAGAAAGAAGGGAGAGGCCAGCATTAGCGTGTTCTCGCTTATCTGTCCTGCTGTATTCAAACAGATAAGGCGACCCTTGATAATCTGCGCGACGGCCAATGCAGGATGAAGTTTATGCTTGAAGAAATAGTCATGGTTGTATGTGGGCTGAGATACTGCCAGAGCGTCCAGACCTAAACAGGAGGACGATTAGGGCCCTCACCCAAAGCCTTTGGCTCTAAAGCCTGTCCGCAAGGCAGCGGGGAGGTGGCAATGATTTAGTTTTACAGAAATAAACGGCATCCTATTTCAGACGACAAAGCTGGAGGACCAGGAGACTAAGTTTGTCTGACCATGTAGTATAGCTCAATGGGTCAATGAAGTACGCAAACCATCGCACCACGCTAAGGTCCAGTCTCGTTGCGGCGAATGCTTTGTGTACCCCTTTGACCGATTGAGCTACACTGGGTGAAACTTCCAAATGCCTCCAGTGCCACTCATACTAAAAAGTTCAATGGGTAAGGGTCAAACTAACTAAGTATCACAATCGCCCCGCTGTCTTGCGGGCAGGCTACTTAGAAAAAGGCTCGAGGTGAAGTCCCCGTAATACAACTCTCTACGTCGGCTTAGACAACCGGATAGTATCACGCCCACTGACAAAACCATAGACTGTTAAACTGCAATATCGCTCTCAGCTGTTTTTGCTCCTGCTAGTCACTCACCTTCACACGCCACCTGTTCATTCGCTACGAAGCAGCATTATCCGTCACCAAATGATTCTTGTTTCCATCATTCTACTCTGGATGATTTTGTCGACACCCAGAGAGCTCGCCCAG